GCCCGGCCCGGCCCGCAAAAATTTGCGGGCCGGGCCGGGCCGGGCCGGGCTGCGGGACCCAACGCAGGCCTCTAATGAGAGGAATATGCAGGTTACTTAATATAATTAGTAGTGAAACAAAAACCCAGGTTAGGTATGAGTGAAACATAATACAGAACTTTGATAGGTTTAGATCACAGATAAATATGTCTGAGTCCTATATCTAAATAAATATATAGTGATAGATGATATATAAAATAGATTTGTACTAGCTATGATGAATATACTAATAAAGACTAGAGAGCATGACCTTATCTTAATACCAAAAAAAAAAGAATTTAGTACAAAAAACCTTTATACTAAGGAACTTAGTCTAAGAATGAATCTTAATAATAAGAAAGCAGAGCAACAAAAAGCAGAAATTGAAACTAATGATAGCTTTCCAAATAATGAAAAAATAGAACAACCAAGAACAGAAACTGAAATAAATAATAGTGCTAAAAGCACTCAATTTATACTTTTGGAGAAAACAATACAAAAGGAAATTGCATTAAATACACAAGAAATATGGCAAAAAAATGGTTTTTATAACCCAATAGCATCTTTATACAATGATATGCTAGAGGTTATGATGTTGACAAACACTAAACAAGAAGATTTTGATGGGTTTAAAGTAGTCATCTTTAAGAAAAAGCATAAACATAAATCCAAAATAGCTATTTTAAGAGAAAACAAATCTAATAAGATAAACTTAAAGGTTTTTAACTCAAAGACTAACAGGTTCTAAACTACATCTTATATATAATAAATATGGTTAAGTTAATCAAAATTGCAACCTTAAATATTAAAGGTTTAAATAACAAGAACAAAGCTTACAGAATACTTATATTCTTAAAATCATATAAAATAGATATAATCATGCTTTAAGAAACCAACTTAGAAAATGTGAACACAAGAAGTTTTTTGCAACAACAATGGAATTACAGTTCCTATTGAATAGCTAAAACTGCAATACTAGCAGAAAACAAAAATATTCACTTTGATAATGTTAAGAAATTATATAATGGTTGAGTAATCACAGTAAAATTTACATATAAGCAATAACCATTTTTTTAAATAATGTTATGCATTACCAAATCTAGAAGATAGAACTTATTTCTTTAATATTTGGATTTCACAATATGAAGAGAAATATATCAACATACTGGCAGAAGACTTTAACACTTACCTTAATTTACAAAAAGATCAAATTAGTTATACTCTAACAACTAATAACCTTACAAAAGAACAACTTAAAGAACTCACTACAAATTTTGTAGATACATGTATAACTATGAATAATAGTGACTCTTTTTTAACATATTATCAAAACATTTAAGGAAATCATAGAATGGCTACTAGGCTAGACTATATATTCATAAATGCAAATCATATTTATCACTGTTAGAACATTGCAATACAGTTTGGCAATTCAGACCATTTGCTTGTAGAATATAAGCTTCAACTTATACCAACATCCTCTAGAGCCAAACAATGGAAATTTTCTCAAAACAGCTAAAATAACAGTCTTTTTAAAAGTGAAATAATAGAAGAAGTTCATGATTTTACAAAGTGGGACCAATACAAATATAGAATTTAGTCTATAATAAGAGCACTTCACCTACAAGCTTCTTCTGAAAAAAAGATACAAAAACTGCAAAAAAAACTTACAGAACTGAATAACAAAGAAGCTAATAGTAAAAATATAGACAAAATTCTAGTAACTAAAGAAAACATTAAGTTACAGTTATAGAAAGAACTTCTGTCACTTTCTAAAAAATAACAAACAAGGTCTAATGCCAAATGGATTGAAAAAAAAGATAAATCTACAAAAATTTTTTTTTCTCTTTATAAGATAAGAAATTCAGCATTAGCCAAAGATAAGATACATTTATCACAATAATATGTAGCAGAAAACCCAATCTCTACATTACAATATATTAAAAATACCTATCAGGCAATATATAAAAATGATGGAATAAATACAGAAGCTGCAAGTTTCTTTACATATAATCTTTCATCTATAACAGAGTTGCAGAATGCAACATTTTTTTTTTTTTTTTTTTTTTTTTTTTTTAACCTTTGGCAGTTACGCTAGTACTTTATTAAGATTCTAGAAACTATAA